ATAAATAAATAAAAAATGGTGAAGGTGAAACACACAAAGAATGAAAGACAATAAAACAATATAAAAATATATAAGAAAAATAAAACCCAGTAAAAGAAGACAATTAAAAAAGACAATAAAGGAAGGAATAAAACAGAAGATAAAATGTACTGCCCTTAATACTGTCATCAAACGGAGTAAAAGTACACTCATAAAACAGCTCCTGTAAAAGCACATCTGTATAAATGTGTTTTTAAAAGAGTTTTAAAGGAGGATAAAGTGTTAAGGACTATGAAAGTTTAAATCAAACTAAATTATTTAAATATGTAAATTCATTTGTAGTTTCTGCACCTTCACAATCAAAACTGAAACTTTACATCAGGTAGACAAATGAATACAGGTGTTGCTTCCTGTCTTTCAGATAATAGATGATTGTTCAGCAGGTGAAATGTCCAGATTTGTCTTTTTTGTTTTCGATTCAGGGCAGCCAATTCTCTGTGTACTTGTTGCCGCTAAGTTCCACAGTTGGCCGAGGCGTCCGTATACATCTGGGATGTCAGGACTCTTGGAAAATGCTGAGTGTTCTTAAGAAGGAAATGGATAAGGAAAAAGGCCAACACAGCTAATGAAACAGTGTGTTTACTGTAAGTGAGTTCTGAGGACAACTCTCTGTGTGAGCGCTGCCAAAGCTTCGGCACCACGTGACCTCGGCTGTGGCTTGGGTTACAGACCGACCATAAGGCTGTTAAAGTTTGATGGATACATTGTTTGACTGGCCACTGTCTCGGCACAGCAGCATGATGTAGGCTAATATGTGGTGTCTCAGTCCTCTGAGAGCCAATATTTATAGTAAGCAATTCTGCCTTCCGTTAATGAGGCTGCCGTAGGAGTGCTGTGGGTGCTGAGGAAACGGGGTCGCCGAGTGTCTTCAATACAGGGAGGTGACGATAACGAGCTGCTGCTGCTGTTGATCCCTACAGTTATTACACATGTATGAAAGAAGTGCAAAAAAACATGCTGAATAAGCTTCTTGTGTCTTCTATGGAAGCCCATTTAGGCCAAAAAGGAAGGCGAAAAGTTAGCCGTGATTTAAAGTTAGCCATGTGACTGTGACTATGATTAGAAGGGTGCATCTGCATAGAAAGTTTAAAAAAATCATTTTAAAAATATGGAAAAGCCGTTTGGAACTTTTCTTATATTTGTAACAGTAGTAAGAAATCCAAAATTTTTTATTTTTTTTTTTAGATCTGGCTGTGCAATTTTCAAACAGAGATTTGTGGTGCTGATTTAAATCGTCAAACAACTGGTTTTGCATTTATTTTTACAACCAAATCATCCTTTTCAGTGCACACGTGGAGTCTGCATGTCAACAAACTCCGGTCTTATAAATACATTCAAGAAAATAAGCGCAGTGTATTAAAGAACCCTTAAATTAGTGTATATAGTATATCAGACAGACTTTCATTGTCAATTCATTATTTGTTATATTATTATTTTATTATTTAAGTTGTCTTTTTGCATTACAAAAACTGTTGTAATGTGGTTTGTTTGAGTTAAGTTGCGTTGCTTTACACTGCAGTTTCTGTGATGTGACTGTTGCACATGCACAGATTGTAACGATTGCATTTTTTTAAACACTGAAACAAGGACAACATTCAACCCCTAAATGATTTCTATGGTTTCTGTTTGGTTTAGGCTATTTGAATATTTTGTGAACTTTTTATTGTGAGACCTGAGTGAGAATGTATCTTAATTTGAGTTAGCAGGCTACTAATAGGCAAAAGGCTGAGGCTAGGTTACCTGCAGATATCTGCAAAAATATCTAAAAAAAGAAAATTCCGTCACCACTTACAAGAACCTGATTTAAGTAGCTTCAACACTCAAAAAGCATGAAACAAGAAGTGTGTCCCAGCTGGGCGCATCACGTTAATGTGTCCCCTACAAACAGATCAATTGTCATTTGTGCTATTTGCAGTGGGTCATGCGAACGTCTCTGGATCACTGACTGTCCTGTAACAGCAGCTGGCTCTCGGTCAAAGGAGCAATTCCATTAATTATGCATCAATTTAAGCCTGAATACAATTTGGTTTTTGAAATTATGATGTTTTTGTGTTTAGTTTTCTTACTGGCAGAAATGGGTTTCCATACAGGTCTGTTAATCGTAAGGCACACATACTTTAAAAACCATGAGTGTCTATTCAGCTTCCCAACACAACAGAGGACAACATCTGAAAAGGTTGTGATTCATGTGAGTGTTTTCTCTGCTGAACCCCGGCGTAATGAAACGTTTACCATCGCCGTGAGTTAAGGAAGACGATGCTGAGCACTGACTTTTCATGAGTGTGAAATTTATCGTCTTTCTATGAGCTGCATCCATGGAGTCCAATGTTCCAAAGCATCAACGGCTGATTAAAAGCCGAGACGCCTCCGCAACCTCTATCTCTGTCCCCATTACTACGGCTCAGCAGAAAATTTAGCTGATTCACCTTTGCTGTCACAAACGAAAATTCAGCGCGTAGACCTCTAAGACTGCCTCGCCGCTTTACTGAAGTCTTCCCGCTCTCCAGAGGACTGAAAGTAAGAGATACAGACCTATTTAGGTTGAGTTCATTTAAGCTGTTTTGCTAAGCTTTGAATAATTTCTTTCCTCAAGGGACACCGTCTGGTTGACAAATAGACCCAATTAGCTTGTGTGTTTCCGTGGAGAGAGTCTGTCTTTTCAAGGTCTTTCAAGGTTAATCCTTATTAAGGAGATAAAAGTTACTGAGCTGTCATTTTGTCTTTTTTCTTTGACTTTGACACATCTTTCTTTCTCACATTATCAGCTATTCTCTCTCTGTTCCTGCTTCTTCTTTTTTGATTACACCTGCTCTAAATGTGTTTGCAACAACTCGGGGAAAAGTTTGTGACAGTGAGAATAGTTACACAACCAAGTTCTGTTTATTGCTAAACTTCTGCTGTCCGTCTACAGTTTACACATTGTGTGTTCCACTGCACATGCTCACCAGCGTTTATCACGTTGGAATCCCACTTGGCCCATTGTATTCTCATTACTGGATCCAACAGTTAGCAATTTGTTAGATTATCTGTATCTTTTTAAAAAGATTTCCAATAAAGTAAATACATTTGAAAAGGTGCTGTTTTGGCTCAGGGGCTGCAAGGTGGCTCGGTGGTTAGCACCATCGCCTCGCAGCTAGAAGGTCCCCGGTTCGCGTCCCAGTGAGGACACCCGGGATCTTTCTGTGTGGAGTCTCCATGTTCTCCCCGTGCAGCGTGGGTTCTCTCCGGGTTCTCCGGCTTCCTCCCACATAGTCCAAAACATGTTGAGGTTAATTGGTGATTCTAAATTGTCCGTAGGTGTGAATGTGAGTGTGCTTGGTTGTCTGTCTCTAAGTGTAGCCCTGTGATAGACTGGTTACCTGTCCAGGTGAACCTGCCTTCACCCTGAGTCAGCTGGGATAGACTCCAGCCCCCCATGACCCTAGTGAGGATTAAGAGGTGTATAGATAATGGATGGATGGATGGATGGATGGATGGATGGATCTTCCTGATTACTGATAATAGCTCCTTTTCTATTGGAAAAATGTTTTATGGGCCACAGGGGGATCTATTTATTGTTGTTGGAAAACATTGGTAGTGAGACTGAGTGGTAGCCATAGACCATGTATGACATCACCCATTGGTTTTACTACTGTTCTGAGGTCTCGAGTTTGAAACTTTGCCTTCTTCATCCTGTTTTGTTTTTTGTTTTTAAACCGGACATGATAAACACACACCTACACAGGAGTGACTTATCAATAAGGAGTTAGTCCACCTTCAAAATACTGTTGTCATCTATTTTCCGGTAAATGGAACTATAATTTATAAAACAAGCATCCTGCTGTGTTGAATTAGACTTTAAACTATCGACCGAGACTATAAACTCATTAGAAAAATGTTCACTGAGGTACCAAATCAAATATGAAGTAGGTTACTTTTCTCAGACAATCTCACTTTATTCTGCAACCAGAGGAGTCGCCCCTGCTGGTCATTAGGAAGAGTGCAGTAGTGAGACATGTCCCCATCAGCTGAACTTTTCAAAGCAGGAGGCTATGTCCATCTTTTATATACAGTCTATGGTGGCAGTGCAATATCCAGCTCTCTTTATACAGCCAGGCTTGTTGCAAGAAACAGATATTATTGAGTAAAACAACCATATTTTTATATAGTGTAAAAAAATATTCACTTTAAAGCTGCTTTACTGAATGTTTTCATATAAACAATGTGTCCGTAAACCCAACAGAAACCTACTGTCCTACAAGCCCTCTGTCAACCTGCACGAATAACTGACAAACACAGTGAAGCATGTAGGGGCAAAGAGGCAGATGCTTCCTTCAGGAGTTCATTGTGAGAGTGAATTCAGCTTAGAAACATGATTTTTGATTGTTAAGCTCTCCATGACTGGTGGGCGTACAAATAGGAAACTGTCATAAGAACTTTGTGAGCTGATAATGTGTCAGTGTTGTTATAACAGTTTGCTGTGCTGCCCCAAGTGGGAAAAAAATCACAAGGAATGAACCCTTATCATATTTTTTGCTATTGTTTTTAATTTGACGTTTTTTGTTTGCTAGTTTTATGTGCAAGTATTCTCCTTGGATGCAATGCTAGTCTCACACTTGATTCTCCACTTTCTGCTGCTGTCAGACAGGCTCCAGAGGCACAATTCTGCATGAATGGTCACCAATAACCCAGTATAACAGCTGACAGTGGGTTTGTGGTCAGTTTGTGTGTGTCAGAGGTCTACCAGGACATTTTTACACTTCCTACGCAGTGCATACTTACAATGGAGTGAGACTGATTCATCCTTGCTGGTTGATAGATTGACTGATCAATACAGACGACTCAGTCAATACTTGGCCGGTTGCTGACACATCGACTACGAGACTTTTTGTTGTGCCAAAAGAGCAAGTAAGAGGACAACAGTTCCAGAGCATTACTCAGTAGACAAAAGTCATTGTAATGAAGTTCTGTTTGTCCCGTAGGTGTGAGTTTATCTCTACATGGGTCTGAGCCCCAGCGGCGGAGCCCCCACCGACACAGAGTCCCGCTGCAGCCCTCGGCCTCCGGCTACCAGGCAGCGGACAGACCTCTCGCCTTCCCCTCCTGTAGGAAGGCAGACATCATGGAGGAATCCTCGGCTGAAGCCCCCGACTCCAGCACTCAGGATGATGTGCCTCCGCTGGGTGAGACAGACCACCACCACCACCAACAAGGCTTGACGTCTCTGTGGACTGATGATACTTTCATTTGTTCAGTTCAGTCATGGACTCACTTCAAAAGAAGTCGGTCTCGTAGCAGTGCTGGGCAGCTTCCAGTGAGCATGTACACTGAACCCCTAGTGTCGTGTATTTCATCTCAGCAAATTAAGCTGGCAGCATTGCTGTGATTAAAATGAATACTTGTAGATGAGGTAATAAAGGCCTGCTCAAACATCCAGCTTTTCATGCTGTTGTGCTGGATGTGGTTGCAGGCTGTGTTGGCAGCTACGATTACGACACGTAAATTCATTAAATATTTCAGTTTGCATTACAAATCTCTTTCCCCTGCAGCTGATGTTATCACAGCAAATCTCACACACACACACACACACACACACACACACACACACTCTCTCTGCAGAAGGTTAGAAAAGAGAAATGTTTGCATCCAGTAGTTACAAGAGATTAATTCAGATTCAGATTGAAAAGTCAATTTGTGAGATAAGACAGACAGACAGACAGACAGACAGCTTCTGGGTTTGAATGAGCCTTCCTAAAATTTTTTGACATTAATTTTAAAGCTGCACTAATAAATATATTATTGTGGGCATCGAGTTACACTACTATGTGTTATGGAAGAGGTGTTGCTTGCAGTGTTGTATCATGTAAAATAATATTCCAGCTTCACTCTTATCAGTGCCGTTTCCAGCAGGAGCATCCATCTGTTTCAATATAACTCATAATAATCTTAATTTTTGGAACAATTTTCAAAATCAGAGCTACAAAGTGCTTCACAAGGCAGCAGAATAAACCAGACAAGTATGGTATAAAGTATAAAAACCCATACAGAGTTGGAAAGGAGATAAAAGCACGCCGTAAGAAGGCACTTAAAAGAGATCACTGACTCAGCCGAAATGATTTCCTCAGGCGGATCGTTCCAGAGCCTCGGGGCAACGACTGCACACGTTCTGCTCCCTTTAGTTTTCAGGCATCGTTAGAACAGACAAAAGACCTCTGCTCGAGAATCTGGCTTTCTATAGAGGCCATGAAGGGCCTTAAAATGAATCAGTAAGATGTTGAAATCCATTCTAAGACACTCTTTGATCTGGTGTAAAGAGGGGAGATGTGATCACGTCTTGGTTCAGGTTAAAGGAGGTTTGTATAGTCGGGAGTCAATCAACAGAGTTTTGTTGCCGTAATTTAGGCACGATGAGAAAAACGCTTGTAAATTTGGTCTCTGTGTCTTTCAAAGGTAAGATAGATTTGATTTTTAAAAATATGACAAAAACATGATTGTATAGGCTTTGTGCTGTGCTGCTAAAAAAAAACAAAAGAAAACATAGACTACTGTCAAACCAGACTCCAAGATGATTTGAATCTGAATCTGATTGACAAGAATCTGTTTTTTTTCCCTTCTGGGATAAATAAAGTATTTTCATTTCATTTCATTTCATTTAGAGGAAAAAAATCTAAAAAAAAAAAAACCCCAAAAAACCTTGTGTAAATGATCAGCAGCCAACAGTAATGTTTAGAGAGAATTTAATATTTTTCTCTCAAGTTTGTGGACTCAAAATGAGACTCAGCACTAAACTTGGATTGATTTTTTACCAAATAGCAGGAAACACCACTCCAGAGAAACGTTCATGTTGCTCCATTGGTATTCGTGTACCATTTTATTGTAACTACCATGTAATTCTATCCATTCTGTCCTCCGTCTTCCCTCCAGCTGTGAAGGATGTGAACGTGCTGCTGGAGAGGGAACGGTCAGAGGGCGTCAGCAGCCCGTCCAGAGACGACGACTCCACCCTGCAGAACCCAGGAACCCACAGCAGCATCCTGGACGACAACACCAAGTCTGATTCAGGCCTCCCAGAGGTCCGTGGTCACACTACAGGGGTCATTTTTAGTCCCAGATAGAGATATATTGTATGCTTCTTTAAGACAGGAGTCGTGTTTAGAATCATGTGGGTAAAAGGTTAACAGCCTCTTGTTCTTCCATCCATGGATGAGAAGCAGCGTAAAACAAGCTAGATGACTCCTCTGTTCTGTTCTGTCTGTTACTGTTCTTTCCTGACTGTCTGTATGTCTGTCTGCACTCAGGGGAGGAGTAAATCCAGCGGCCTTTGCTTCAGCGATGGAAAGAGCCGCATTGACTACATCCTGGTTTACAGGAAGTCCAGTTCTCAGTCGGAGAAGAGGGAGATATTTGAGCGGAACATCCGTGCAGAGGGCTTGCACATGGAAAAGGAGGTAAAGAGCATTCAGACCAGGTGACAAGTGTTCAGTGTGTGGTGTTGTTTGGCTTCTACCAGCTAGTCCCTGTATCGCTGTTTGGTGCTAAGCAGGCAATACAGTGAGATTTAACAAAGCTGCATTGCTAAAAAACAGCGACCAGCTTTGGTGACAGGATTGATGAAGGCAAAGAAAGTGAACTAAAACAGCTAATTTGTAGACAGCGGTTGTCTAAATAGGCTGAAAAGCTACCACAGGGCGACTCCTTCCACATGACATTGTCATCGGATCCACTGATTATATAAAAATAGTGACTGAAACAGCTTTGAAAGTGCTTGTTTTGACGAGCGACTGCTGTGAAAAACAGAAAGCTTTCAGGTTAGAGAAGTGGTGGAAGAAGCAGTCAGATTACTTCAGCAACAGCAATAATAAAGCAACATAAAAATACTCCATTACAGATCCAGCAGTAAAGTAAAAGTACCAGTTTTGTCCCTCTGACTGATATATTATACTTTATATCCAGTTCTGTGTACAGGGACAGCAGATACATCTGAGGATTCATCTCAGTTTTAGCAGGAGTGGAAAGAAGAAAAAACAAATGTCTGATACACAAATCTGCTTTCCTCAAATCCTTGATTTTTGCTGAGCGATTGGATCATTGAACATTTACTGAGACGAGACCATGTCAGAAGTTTAGAGGAAAAAAATCACTATTTGATGGAGCTCTGAGCAACTCACAGACACCTGAAATAGGAGCCTGAATGCTTTTTTAAGAAGCCTAAAATGTTGGAAATCACAGGTTTAACCTTTAAAGATTCATTTTAAAGGTTGCTATATTACTCACTGTGTAAAATCCTTATCTTAAAAGTAACTAAAGGTGTCAAATAAATGCTGAAGAGTAGAAAGTGCGAGATGTCTCTTGACATGTAGATGAGTGGTACAGTAGTCTGGAGTATAGAATGGTAAAGAAGGCGCCGCTATAGCTCACCTGGTTGAGCTGGTGTCCCATGTTCAGGGCTACAGTCCCGATGTGGAGGTCATGAGTTTGAATCCCACTCATGGCCCTTTCCCACATGTCTTCTCCCCTACTTTCCTGTCTCTCTCTCACTACACTATCCAATAAAGGCACAAAGACCAAAAACTTTAGAATGGTAAAGAATGGAAATTCTCAAGTACATCTTAAGTGTCCTTAAAAAACAATATTTGATAAAACGTACTTAGATATTTTTCACCACTAAACTAGAACATGTAGAATAGCAGCAATATAACTATATTGCAAAAACTGCAACTTCTTAAGGAAATTAATGTGTCAAACTTAACTTAAATTCATCAATCATTTAATATAAAACATTTTTCTCTTTGCCTCTGCTAGCGCTAGAGTTCACATTTAGACACAGTGCAGCCCTCCTTCAGCTAGTAAGGATTAAATGTCTTGCTCAAGGGCACGTCTTCAGGGCGGAGTCACTGGATTCAAGCTGAAGAGAGGAGTTTCTTACTTTATGGCCAAATTGCAAAGCAAATGTAAAACCGATGACTTCCTGTACTGACAGAATTTGCTGCGATTACTTTGGCCAACCTGTATTCACCGTGTGCTGCTGCATGAGCAAAATCAATACCGGTTTGTGTGAAGAGGCTATTTAATGCTCCCTCCTGTAATGCATGTAATCTCAATGGCCAGATTGCTGAATTTTAAAATGCGCCGAGCCTTTGTGCTGCCTCCGACAGCTGAGTGCTGTTGTGACGTTCGCTGGTGAGCTACCACTTATGGAGCCAAAACAAATGTGCTGATAGCAATTTTCTCCGCTGCTGCTTCTTATTTAGCATTTCAAGTGTCACTTGAAAGAGTGGAAATGTGGATGTTGTGATCTGTGTTAACTGCGGCGCCATTTGCTGATGCTGAAGCGTCAAGGTTATCATTATCTAGAACATGCAGAGGAGACAATGGACGTTGCCTCCTTTAACCTTCAGCCCACTTGTGTGTGTTTCTTGCGTGGAGTCATTTAGTTATTTTTAGGTCTCTTTGCTGCTATCTCCTGATTCATGTACTTTTAAACAGCCTCCTTCTCCGTCAGGCTGTACAAACAGGTGAGGATAAGAGTGGCTCTCAGGAAACAGACTGATGTTGAACAGCCTGCACTGAGATATGTTGTAGTTCCTTTATTGTTCCTATATTGTTGTGTGTTTGTCTTCTTTACAGGCCTCTTTAACAAACAGTGACGTGATCTTCCTGAAGCTTCACGCGCCATGGGATGTCCTCTGTCGCTACGCAGAGCTCATGAACATTCGCATGCCTTTTAGGTAAGACAACAGTTCCTATATGTGCCAAAGACAAAGACGTCATCAACAGCATGAAGGCAGCTGTCTGCT